CACACACACACACACACACACACACACACACACACACAGTGTTTGACTGTCAGTCACCACTGCTAACATTACTGAGGTAGAGTTTTGTCCAGGATTGAGGACTGATGTTTTCATAAGCTCCCCAGCCAGAGAGGTGCCCGTCTTCAGCTTCCACACCTGTACACATTCATATATTGACATACACAAAACCCACTAACAATCATACACTGGGACAGAGACACGAGCAGCAGACGCGACACTCGTCTGCTCTGTCCTGTCTGGGATCCTCTGTGTGCTGGTAGGCAGAGAAAACCATCTGTGGTGACTGGGATGCGACAGAAAAACACACAAAGAGACACACGGCTACACAACTACCAGTTAGCTTATCTTCGTAACACTTTTAAGCTCGAGGGCGATAGCTCAGTGGCACAAGCTCGGTACATGCGGTCCTATCACCTGCGCATGTAAAAAAAGAAACACTTTCCCTTTGTTGTCTTTGCTACATTCGTTCATCAGAACCTGCCATGTGACGAGGGTCCATTTTAAAAAAACCAGAATTGGAAAATATCGCTATTCAAGTTATTCAGCCTCAACTGAAACTGAAATACTGCAGTGTCTTTGTATAGAAACCTACTAATGAGACATTGAAACAATGTCAGCTTAGCTAACAGGGACTAAGTGTATAAGCATATTTAATATGTGAAATGTGACCTGATGTAACATGCATGAAAACTGTGACCTCATTTATTCCCAAACTCCTCATTGTGTTGGACAGACAACTGAAAGAAAGGGCGTCATTGATAAAACGAGTCAAACAAAATAGAGGACAAGAACTTAAAACAAGGACAGGACATTTTTAACTCAAAGTATGGATTCATTCTAAAGCTTTGCATACAAGTCGTTAGGCAAAATAAAGTAGCTTTCTATGGCCCTGTTTACTCAAAATAAAACTTCCAATCGCTTCCATTTTGGTTTTACAGTTTCTTTTTTCCCCTGTGATAACGGATTACAGATACAGACCTCTGCAGTTCGACGGTGTGTTTGTTCAAAGCCGCGTGAGCAGCTCTGCATCACCGAGATGTACAAACTTTCAGAGTGGAGATGTGAGACAGGACTTTGGCAAAGTTTGACAGATAAAGATAATTTCTCAATATTGCTTGAGGGCGTTGAGGGGACGGCAGCATCTGTTGTCCATGTAAAAATCGAGCAGCCGCCGAGGGGAAAGTTCGGGAACACGTACCCCTGAGGGGAAAGCGGGCGGGGGGGGGGGAGAGGTGCCGTCCTCACATGGACTCAAACTCGTCAATGCGCTGCTTCGTGTTGCCCTGTCGGATCTGGCGCAGCGTTTTGTATTTGTCTCGGCCGGCTTTCACATTCTCGGCGTGCAGCACGTCGTTCTGTGTCTTCTTGGTTTCGTCTCTGGCCTCGGCCAACTCTGAACTTAATGTCTGAGTGATGGGAGAGAAGATAACAAATAATAGAGGTTGAGAGGAAGGAAAAGAGAAGACAGAAAAAAAAGGAAAACTAAATTAGGAGATCGCCTTTGCCTGACTGATATTTCTTCTTTGCAAACTGCTTCAACAGAAATTTTCAGATTTCTCTGAACGTTTCCCTTGTCGCTCACCTGCAGCTGCTGCTTCACCCTCTCGTTCTTCTGGGCTTCGGTGACGCGCGCCTCTTCGCTGCGGAGGTCGAACTGGCTGACGCCCTCGTTGGACAGCTCAGCGCTGGCCTCTGCGTGGTTCTCGTCCTGCTCGTCGTGCTCGCTCTCGGCATTGCCACCTGGAGGTGCCGGCACAATTGTCATTGCCGTCTTTAGCTCCTCCTTGGTCTTCTCCAAGTCATCCTGGGCTGAGAGAGCCTGCAGGAGGGAGAGTGCAAGAGGAATACATAGTTTAATAAATAGTAACTCTGAGGAGGCGGAGTTGAAGTTGTCATGGTTGATAATTTTCCATTAATTGCTCAGATGCTTCATTTATCAATTGACTCCATTAGTTCAGAAACATTGATCGGTTATGTTTTAAAATACACTGACGCGATAACAAGACTCAGCCATAGTATGCAGCTGTGGTTAAAAGGTTCATCACAATTGAACAACAAGGCCAAAGTTTGCTTCTGCAGGATTGAGGAGAGGAACGCTGTACCTTGTGCTGCCATTCTGTGGCCTCATCTTCTTTCTTCCTCTTGGCATCTTCCAGGAGAGCGATCTTGGCTGTGAATTCTGCCAGTTCAGCAGCCTGGGATGAAACATACGTCAAACAGTCAGTGTTTGCTTGCTCTGTCTATTAAAGAGGCTTGTGTGCACAAAAACCTACTAATGCATGCAATGTTCACCGCCTGAAATTGCTCAGAGCATCAGTCAAACAAACACACACCAGTTGCTCCTGGTTCTTCAGCTGGTCTGCGGCCTGTTTCGCCAGCTCCCCCTTCGCCTCCTCGGCCATTGTCCTCTCTCTCTCCAGCCTCTCCGCCTCCTCCCTCGCTCTCTTTCTCTCCTGCTCCAGCTCTAAGGCCCTGCGAGTCTGCTCCTCGAGCTCTGTGGGAACAAACACAAAAAACGTTCAAACAAAGAGGCAGGGCTTTAACCACATTTTCAGTTCAACAGACACAACTGATCTGGACTTGCGACCCAAGAGAGATGCTCTGAATTGAGAGACAGAGGGAGGAAAGGGGGGGGCAATATAGATAGGTGAACAGATCGATGAATAGCAAGAAAAACAAATACCTTTCTGAGCTCTCATCGTCTGCTGTTCAATCTGTCTTAGACGCTCCATGAGCTCATCTTTCTCACGCTCTATCCTTTCCTTTTCTTTCTCCGCATGCTCTCGCTTCTTTTTCTCATTCTCCAGCTGGGCCCTGAAAAAACAACCCCAACACATTTATGAATTGATAGTAAAAACACAGAAAACACCATACTCGGAGTAAACAGTTGCTACATCACTGAAAATCACGGTCTGATAGGCTTTGCTCTGTTACTTACATTATTTAAGAAGGAATATTTGTGGATGGTGTGTGTGTGTGTTCAGTACCTCTCCATTTGTTTGTGGTGCTTCTCCTCCCGGGCCTGAGCCTTCATCTGTTGCACCTCGATGGTGTCGGGCTTTCTCCTCCTCATGTACAACTCGTGGTTTCCCATACACAACGCCAAGATTCGTTTGTTGATGCGCAGTCGTGGGGCATAAAACACAAAGTCCTACAAGGGTAAGAGAAGAGAGCAGCAGAAGATATATACTTAACTGTAAAACAGAAATTCTCTGAGGACAGTCTTCATGATTTTGACACTCACAGGCGCTTTCTTGTCAATAGGTTTGATGACGAACTTCTTGTCATTGAAAGAGATGTTTCGAATCTCGCTCCAGGGGAAGCCGATCTTTGGTGTCAACCTAAAAAAAAACAAACATGCTTTATAAAAATTGGCCAGCAGATGGCGCCCAGCATGAACAAACTGCCTAACATGAAATTAACAGACTGTTTTTTTTATTTTGCATTTTAAGTAAAGTTGAATGACAGGAAACAGAAGCTGGATGAAACTCAAAATATCCAGGTATCCTGCCAAAGTTCTCTGATCAAAAAGGAACAGATCTGATGACAGAATGGAAACAAAAACTATTTCTTTGTCTTTCTGTTGTTACCTGGATGAGGGAAAAGGGATGGCAGCTGTGATGACTCCAGATAACAGACAGGAAGGCAAAGGCAGAGAGACAGTGAGAGGAAACGCTACCAGAGCTGTGATTAAATCTATCCTTTTCCTCTGACGAGGAAAGACTCTTTCGGTTCCTTTCTACACCTCAGCCTCATTTTTCACTTATAAAAATATCGTCCTCTGGACTTTTGTGAGTCCTCGCCCAATGTTTATGTTAATATCAAACAAAGAACTGAGCTTAGTAATTAACTTGTATAACAGCCAGTGTAACGGACATCATTATGACGACATGTGTGACACGTCTACCTGCCGTTCTGATCGTAGCATGTTGTATGAGCTGCATCGAGTCAGTTACTCGACAGAAGAATTCAAATGTCAGGACAATTTAAAAAAACTAGGGAAGGCAACGAGATTCTAGAGCTTTTGCTTTTTTCTTACTTGTCTTCATGTTCATAGATGTTGAGGCCTAGAGCATCCACACCCAACCACAGCTGTGTGCCCTTCTTGTTTTTAATCTCAAAGTAGTTGACACCGTACATCTCCAGGTCCTGGGCGATTTTAAGATACTCCATCATCGAGTCCTCTCTAACGAAGAGGAGACGCAGAAGGTCATGAGTTGAACAAACACAGAGCAGGTGAGTTGTGCTTTTAGGAATATTATCATAGCTGTGAAAGAGAAATTCATCTGATTTGATTTACATTTTTTTAAATAACTGGACATTTTAACACAAACCTGAGCATTCCTCTGTGTTCTTCATGCCAAGTCTGTATCCTGTCCTCCCACTGCTCCTTGGTCAGCTTGTGTTGCTCCAGGACTCTGCACACACACACACACACACACGGCCACAATGAAATGACTTTCGCCTGAAGGAATGTCGATCAGCACAGAATTGTTTCCTCTGGAGGAAATCATACAAGATCTGACCAGGGAACGAGACGCATTCCAGGGTTTGTGTTATCTAGTGTAGGTGGAAACTGAGCGGACGCCTCCCGCAGT